GTGGGTGTTTCAAATGAAGAGAACCGTGCAGTATTGCCATTCATTCGTCGCCAGTTCAACAACGTCGCCAGTTCAACAGGAAGTTGGGCAAAGGAGTCGAGGTAACATAAACTTTGACATATACGTGAGCTGCGTGGATTTTGCCAGATGCTGGCCACTGGAAGCGGACCTGGCCTTTGAGAGTTTACACGTTCCTTTGGTTCCTGGAGGTGGGGGCTACGTCTGATGTGTTTCACAGATGGTGCTTGTGAAAACGAACTTCTATGGGTGCAGTGTTGGTCGGATCTGCGGGGCATGCGTTCGGGTGTTTTGATGGCGAATTTCCAGAAGACCTTCGAACTCAATTTTTAGTGAAGCCACACACCCGATTTATGAAGTAGAGCCGTTGCCAACTTTGGTAGTTATAATATTTCAGTAGAAGTGCTGCAGTCATGTCAAGTTGTTTTTGCACAGACGATGAAACAGCAAAAAACTGGGCTAATCAGAGGTGCGGGAGTGGCCCCTTTTGGCTAATGCCATAACAGGGAACTTCTGCATAGCTGAAGCCGGATCTCAGTTGGAAAACTGGGTTCAACCGAGTTCCAACGCACAGCAACTTGAGTGACGGTCATAGCTGTCAAGACTTAGAGTTGATCAATGCTCTTGGGGTGCACCAGGTTTTAATTTCCATGGTCGCTTGGCAGTGGATTCACAAGTTCACGCCGTAACTGAAGTGGGGCTATGGCGGGGCGTGAAAGGACTGACCCCAATTGCATTTGTGTTGGAAAAAGGAAGCTTTGTCCGGATGCTTCAGCTGTCGATTATTTCCAACTCGTTTTTTGTGCGTCGAGCGGAATTTTTAATTTTTTGAGAGACACAATTTTTTAAACGTTGCGTTTTCACGGTGCTATGTGTTTTGCAAGCGGTTCAATCTTTGGAAATAAGTTTTTAACTCCCGCAGGGATAAAAACCTTATTTCCAATTTTTGAAAACACTTTGCGTGGCAAAGTGTTAGCTGTAAAAACACGTACCCTAAGTTTTGAAGAAAACGAGACGTTTAATTTTTATACAAATGTGTTTCAAAACTGAAACAAATCTCCCAACATTGTTGGTAAGAAACATCCTGATGTTTTTTGCATGGCAATATCTTGGCTTAAGGGTGTGGTGGGTGGGAAACTCCCTGTTTGTTTCCTGTTTGGTTGCAAATTCCCACCCTTCTTTTTCCCGCCCCTTTTGCAACAATTCTTTCTGGCCACGCCCCAAGCCCTATGGCGGGGCGTGAAAGGACTGACCCCAATTGCACTTGTGTTGGAAAAAGGAAGCTTTGTCCGGATGCTTCAGCTGTCGATTATTTCCAACTCGTTTTTTGTGCGTCGAGCGGAATTTTTAATTTTTTGAGAGACACAATTTTTTAAACGTTGCGTTTTCACGGTGCTATGTGTTTTGCAAGCGGTTCAATCTTTGGAAATAAACTGACAAGAATGCTCCACGACTGAGCTTGGCCTTGGATGAGGAGTTTCAGGCAGCTGACTGCTTTTCAGAACTCCTCCGAGGATACGCACAAGGAGTAGTTGACCCCTATACAATGGTGGGCCTGCAACCCACTGGACCCATCCGAGTCAACCTGGAAATAATTGTACCATCTGCTAAAGGACTTACGTCTGAAATGTGGAAGCAGACAGCCGCCTTGTGCCCGCTTGATTGGCCGTCCAATTATAGCCTCTTGAGACTGTGGCACACGCCCAAAAGTTTCCACCAATATGCTGCGCACCTCAAGCAACAAGTTCAACATCAACATATGTTCACTCATTGGGAAGTCAATCGCGCTAAGCTAGCCAGTCGAGTGTTGTTCCAACGACCAGCTTATTATGTACCGGAACAGACTTTGCAACAGCATGTGCGAGAGCGAGTCTTCCCAGATCGGAAACTACGCAAAAGAGCACCGGATATTGACATCGCTGCGTTCGACGCTGCATGCAACGACGTACGTCGCTTGGCTGCAATGAGCGACGCAGAGAAACCGGTCTCCTTTGCCATCGGAAATAGCTGGAATGATACTCTCCGAGCAGACAAACGCCACCATCTTGAATACACTCAACGGAGTCAGACATAACCCATCTCTTCCTTCCCTCTACCCTCCTGGGTCGCACCCCTCGTTTCACCTCGTTGCCTTTTGGCCTTCTTGTTTTCTTGTTTTGGCCCCCCTTGTCCGCTCGGTTGGGCCCTTTTTGCTCCGGTCTGGACCTATTAGTGGCTCCTTCTTTCCGGTCTGGCTGTTCACTTGGGTCTTTTTGGCCACTGGTGCATCTGTCCATAGACGCGGCAGGTGCATTGAGGTCTCACTCTCCCTTGTGAATGATACGACCCTAGTTTTTGTGCTTGTGTGTCTGTCCGTAGACGTGACAGGTGCACTCGTACTCCTTAATTCGTTTTGCTTTGATTGTTTGCTTTTGCTGCTCGCCCCTCCTCATTTCTGTTCTTTTGTCACCTCGCCTTACTTTGGTTCGGCGCTTTTTGTCTCTCTTTTGTCTTGTCGGTGCTTTCCTTCCCCCCTTTGTTTTTCCTGTGTTTCTTTGCGTGTGTTGCCCGGTGGGATTCGTGTCTTCTTGCTTTCTTAGGCTCCGCGGACCCGCCGTCCTTTTCTGTTGTTTGTGCTCCTCGCGGTACTGGTGCGGGCCTCGGTGATCCCGTGTTGCCTGCTCTCCCTTGTTGTGCTTCCTGTCTCTGTCCTTCTTTCCTCCCCTGCCCCGCGAGTGGTCTCCTTTGTGCTCTGGTCCAGCTCACACTCCTGTGTGCTGGTGCCTCCCTCGGAGTATCTGGTTGCTGCTGTGACGGCTCTGTTGCCTTGCTTTCATGCTGGGAGTGTGGTTTAGCTTAGTTTTCCTGCCGGCATTCGGTTCATGGCAACAAAGGCTACTTGCCCTGTGTGGGGTTTTTTACCCTCTACACCATGCTACTGGTGACGTCGAGGAGCTTAGTTCGGCCATACTGAGGTATTCACCGTGATGATGATCTAGGCACATCTGAGGCTCCGCTAAGCTGCACTGTTGCTATTCTAATGTGATGTGTGCAGCCTTCTCCGCCCTGTCCTCCTCTGCCTTCCCGGCGCCCCCTCCTGTGGTTGCCACCTGGCCCTTCTTTCTCGTTGTGTTTTGCTGGTTCTTCCTTTTTCTCCTTTTCTCTGGTTGTGTCTGTTTTGGGCCTTGTGTGCTTCCTCTGCTCCCTTTGCTGTTTTGCTCTCCCCTGCTCTTGTTCTTGGCCACTGGTGCATCTGTCCATAGACGCGGCAGGTGCATTGGGGTCGTACTCAGGCACAGTAAATGGAGCATCGTTTGACTGCGCTTACTTGTTTTTGTGAGTTTCTTTGTTGTGTGTTGTTTGTTTGGTTGGTTTTTCAATTGAAGGGAGGGACATTAACATTGCACACTCATGACTCACTAAGGTGACTCAGGACAGGTGTATCGTCTCTGCCCGTGCAGGCCGTCTTTTTTCGGTCTTTCGTGCTGGCTCAATTGTTTCTTTCTGAGGGGCTGCTCTGCTCACCACCTTAATTTGTTTGTCTGTGGGTTCCCCTGGTATGTCCTCTGGCTGGGTTCTCTCTTTCGGGTGCTGAATGCAACTGGAGGGGGCGATAGTTAGCCGGCCGATGCCATGGACCAGCCTGTGCTACAGCGAGCTTCACCGGTGCATTCCGGTGTTCCTCCCTGTAGGACAGCCTGGGGCGCCCGCGAGCAGCACAAGCCTGCCAGCATGGTTCGTCACTGGACAGAAAGATGTGGTAACTCTGCTGCCTGTCTACTCTCGGGGTGAGTGGCAAGTCAGTCGGAGGTTTGCTACAATGCTACAATGTTTTCTGGTACGTGCTGCAACGCACTGCGGGTCCTTCAGGAACGATGACATCCTGCAATGTCCTGAACAGTTCTGCAGTCTGTATCCTGCGAACCTGCTTTTTGAACGCTACACTACGACAGCACGGGTACTGTGGCAAATGCAATGTCAGTTTTTGGACGCAAGCTTTTTTTGTTGCATGTTGCTCAGCTTTGCGGATACTACCAAATACGTCGCTGACTGAGACCATACAACGGATGGATGCATCTCCCCTATGAAACTAGGGGCGTGCTCCCCCGCTTCATTTGTTTTTGGTGATGGCATGTTTGGAAACCGCTCCCTGGCCTTCTTTGCTTCCTCATTGTCATCACTGTCCCCCCCTTTAAGGGGGGTTCTGACCTTATTTGACAATTGGATTTGTGATCGCAGCTAACAGTCAAGAGGATGACTACTACGTCCATGAAGGCCCATGACGAGCTGACCTGAGAGGACTCTGAGAGAGATTTTGTTGTGGATCTGCGTCCATGTACAGCTTGTCTTATGCTAGGGTAACCTCCTAGCTAGAGTCTTCATGTCTGCCTGAACAGCTGTGATACTTAATTCGTTTTCTTTTGCATGTTTTGATAGTGACGCAGTGGATTTGCCACTGCGTCCAACAGCCGATCGATTCGGTGGGTGTTTTTGTTTGGGCTCTGGCCCCGTTTTTGGTTTGGTTTTGGTGTTGTTTTGCTGTTTGCCTTGTTTCCGCTGGCGAAACGCAAGTCTGGCTGGGGGATTTGCGGGTCGTCGCTTTTTGTGTGGTTGTGGTTTTCGTTGTTTTGGTTCAATCGATCTGCTGATTTCAAGGACTATGTGTCCTTGTACAGAGTTTTAGCTGCTTACTCTCATGTAAGGACCGAGCCTTTAGCGCGACATCGGCCACACTCGAGGAAAAAAAAAGAACAGTTTTTTGTCATGACCTAAGTGTATGGCCGCGACCTTGTGTAGAGCTCTAGCAAAGCACAGAGCACAGCCAAACAAAAGACAGTTTCACAGTTGCAGTCATGTCCACTCTCATGCGAAGCATTTGACATGTGGCGGATTGTTTTTTTTGTTGCCGGAAACTTGGACGCTGAAGTCTGTCACTTAGGGTCTGACTTGCGCTCCTAGCAACAAACAGCAGACTTTTTACCCTCGCCTTAGTTGCTGAAGCCATGGCCGAGTCATGGAGCATCGAAGAGGAAAAGCAGCTGCAGGCCTTGATGGCCAAGAAGGTGGTTGCAGTGAATGAGAGCCGTGGAGCCGCTATGAGCGATGGCTCAAAGCGCCGGTATGTGGATGAGGAGTCTGTGGATTCTATGGATAACCCATGGATTGAAGTGTCAGAGAAGAGCCACCTCAAGGTGGACTACACCAGTGTGGAGCTGGATTTGCCAATGGGCATTACCAGCATGGAGCAATGGGGCCGCACGGTCATCTCTTTCGGCAAATATGCCGAAGCCAATGTGACCTACAATGAAATGTTGACAGCCCCGGAGTATTCAGGATACCGCAAGTGGTGCAAGAGCCACCTGACAACCCATACTGCTGGCAAGGTCGCCATGGACTTTGTCAAGTATCGAGATGCCTATGAAAAGAAGTCCAACAAAGACTCTGGACTTCTGTTCCCAGGAACTGAGGTGGAGCGCCGCTTCAAGTGAGTGATCTATGTGGGATCTATGCACTATGAGCTCTGGATTGGCTTTCAATGGAATGACAGCTGATTGGGAGCAAGTACAATAGCCTTTTAAAGGCGGGCACAACTGCATGGAGGATCAGTTTGATCCATGGCCTATACAAGATCGATACGATCTACTGTTTCTGGAATTCAAAGGAATTTGTTTGGAACTGGAATGGAGGATCACCACAATGTCGCTGATCTATTTCAGATGGTTCGAACTCACGGCAAGTGGGGGTGTGAAATATGGTACCACCTTTCTACCACCTTGTGCCGCTGAGTTCTGCACGTTTTTGTTTACAGTGATTTTCACCAACAATGGTTTCCATGGTGAGAAGTTACAACGGTTTTGCCTGCAATAGGCGTTTTGGAAACACTTGCCCAGCACGATGAAGCAAGTTGGAAATTTTCATCACCATTGGTTTGGTGATGTCTACGTTTGGATCACTTGCTCATCACTATGAGGCAAATGAGAAGATTTCATAGCCATTGGTTTGGCGATATCAGAGTTTCAGAACGTTTTCATGGGAATCCAAGCTGGAATAGCAGATACAGAAGTTTGGGAACCATGTTTTTTTTGTGGAAGACGAGCGACGACTTGCGTCATCGCTCTCCAGTACTGTGAGGCAAAGATCTTTGAGATCATTGCTGTTTGGAAACTTTGCAATGAGGATTGTGAAGATATTTACGTTTGGGTGATGACAAAGTCACCGTTTTAGATGCTGGAAGAACAGATGAGACGAGTTTGGAATTTCAGCGATGCCATGAGATGAGAAGTTTCGTTTTTGCACGGAAGTTTATTTGAGCATGAGTTTTATTTTTGTGCTTGAAACAAATCGAAAACAAACAGCTTGTACAAACCAGTTTTCGATGTGGTTTTGAAACAACAGCTCGTTTTAGCAGAAGCTGTTGCGAAGTTTCTTTTAGAAGTGTCAAACGACACCCAGTGAGAGATGCGTGTGCAACCGCACATTTTTCATCTCAAGGAGGCTCAAAGGAGCCAAGCTTGGTTCAAACAAGAGTCAAAGCAAAGGACAGGAAACAAGCTCAGACTTTGTTGTTTCCTTCGGTTCGCTGGAGCAAAAGTTGGAACTTGAGAGACGGACTGTGTGTTTGAGTGGAAGGTTTTTTTTGGTTGTGTTGTTGGGTTTTTCGCCCTTGCTGCCGACCCCGGGTTTTCGCGTTGCGTCGCGTAGGTAACTTGGGTCTCTAGATTTTCACACAATTGCAATTTTTTGAAGTGCTTCGAGTCCTCGAAATTGCTCGAGATGGCAACTTTTCACTGCCAGGGCCAAGATTCCAGTCTTTAAGAAGCTAAATTTTAAATTTTGCAGACATAATTTTTGATGCAGATTTGGCAAGATTGATTTTCTGGTCCGTTCGCAAACTATCTACATGAGGTGAAAAAAACGCGTGTTTGAGGCAGAAAAAGCTGTGAGGCAGAAAAAATGCATGTTTGCAGCGGAAAAAAGCTGCAGCCTTGAGAATGGTAATTGCACTAACTGTTCAGACACTTCGTAAGGACCACCGCCACAAATTTCAGGACCCGAGCCTCTAAGCTTTATCGGCTGCACGGAAAAAAATCCAACAACACAATTACAGCTTCTCATCCATAGCTGCGTGGCCGTGGATGGTTGTCTTGTTTGCCAGTCCACAGAAAAGGCAACTATGCTGCTTGGCAGCTTGCAGGCCACAACTGGATGTCATCAAAGAAAATCTCGCGTGTCTGTAACAGTGGTTGTTTCCATGTGTGACTGACATGTGTGAAAATTCTACCTTGTATAGCGCTGAGAGATCAGTGACGTTGCACAGTTTTGATTTCACCAAGTATCGTCTGTGGACGAGCCTATTTCGACGTGGAACGATTGTGAATGGACAGATCGTAGTTTGTAGTTTTGATTTGACCGAATATCATCTGTGGAAGATATACTTTTAGATGTTTTTGGATGATCGATGCTTCATAGAGCATCTCGTGACACTCAACGAGCACAACCGACACTGCGGTTGCACTCGTCTCGTTTTGTAGTTGAGAGTTTTGATGTTTTTGTAGGAAACCGAACATTATTTGAACAGTTTGGAAATATTTCAACAGTTTGAGAACCGAATGAAAGCTTTTGATCCTCAGTGGATCGCTTTTCGGAATTTCGTCAAGACTGGAATCCAGTTTGCAGTTTAGACAAAAACCCCTCCTTGGTTTTTGTCACCTTTAAACAGTATTTGAACTGAACATTTGCTTGAGCCAACGACATTCGTTGGCTCAAGCCCGAGTGAGAGAAACAGAGTGATGGAGAGTTTGACTCACGTTTGTGTATTTGTGGAAAAGCCTTTGGGTAACTTTGATCGCGATAGGTTTTGTTTTGGTTTTCAAGGCACAACTTTGCGGTGCAAAGTTTTACGTGGTAGCGGAGCTTCGTGCTCCTACCACAGATCTGTGTGATCTTGGTTTGTCTGTGGATCCAGGAACCGTGTTTGTGAGTTTATACTTTGCTCAGGTCTTGCGTGAATCTTGTTTGTGTTTCAGGTATGGCTAACGCATCTGCAAGCGGCGGTGCGGGTCAGGTACCGACACAGTGTGGAGAGAGGGAAAGAAGTCCCACTCGTACGCCTACGACTCAGGAACAGCAACAGCCTGCACAAGGATCTCAACGTTTCAGGATGAACTCGCCGGAGGGCGGACAAGGTTTGCCTGGAGGGGCAACTGCACCTTATGCCTCTGTACCACCCCCGCCGCCGAAAGCTGCCAGTGGTTGTGGAAGTATGCCAGGAAGTCCAACTGGACAGCAAGAAGTTTTCTCCACTGCGCAGATGACTCAGATAGCTCAGATAGTGTCTTTGAGTTTGACCCAGGCTATGGGTGAGTTTAACATGAGGTTGAACGACGGTTTTCAACAACAGGTAGTTCATCAACAGAATGTGTTGGCTCAGGGACAGGTGCAGAAAGCTGCATCACAACCAGCTCAGGTACCAGTTGCGAAGACATCACCTTCTATCTCAAGTGGTTTGTCATTATTTGGAGATCGTCCACCCACCAGTCCACAACCCAATTTTCCAAGGAACACTGTGGAACAGCCACCAGGTTTGCAGCAGTCGCCTCAGAGACTGATTAGTGAAGTTCGTCAGGGGCAGGGTACTGCACAGAACACTCAGGGTGAAGCATCGTCACAGGATGACAGGGATGTCTTTAGTAAGAGTGAGAAGTGGCTTCCTCCATTGCCCAAGTGTGAGCATGGAACTTGGAAGACACGTGAAGAGGAGATTTTGGGTTTTGCCGGCTATGTTCAGTCTTTGAGAAGCTGGGTAGTGTGAAAGTAAGTATCAAACCAAGCCTGCCGACTGATCAATCCAGCTGTCCAGCCATCACATGTGACACCAACTGTCTTCCACCGTGCCCGGTGGCTCAAGCGACATCTAGCATGTGGCAACAAAAGGCAGCACTGGGCGACTTGTGTTGTTTGCACTTTTGGTTGTCAGTTTCAAACTGGCAGCGGAGCTCAGACTCCGGGGATAAAGTGCTAAACTTTGGTGCCCACACTATAGTTTGTACCTAACTGTATAGATATTTTGTTTCTACAGCACTATAAAATATAGTGAAGCTGAGAGTAGTCAATGCCATAGGGCATGACCACTGCGCAAGAATGACACACTACGGACAAGCCCTTTGTGTGCTCAAAAGTGGTGCTACCGTTGCATGGTAGCGGAGCTCTGGATTCCTTTGGTCTCCATTGCTCGGTGGCAGGACCCAACCACCAATAGTGCCCGTAGGATTCGACCTTGCTGTGCTGCTGAGTGTAGTGCATCATCCCACGCGGAGAAGTCCTGGATTTTCCGTGATCCGTGCTGCTGTTGCCTAGCTGCTTAACCTCATTGACTTGGAGGTGCAGACTTTGGGCCTTGACAGCAGTGATGGCCGGCAATGCAGGAGCTGAAATGAACCCAAATCCCATGAACCAGCAGTTTGAGATGTTGATGAACCAATTGATGCAAACTTCTAATGCGGCTATTAGAGCAGCAGAAGCAGCGAACGCATTGATGACATCTTCATCTACAAGTACCAGTTCGAGTGGAAATGGTAGTAGCAAAGAACTTTACAAACTGATTTCAAAACCTTCAGTTTTCGCGCCAGAAAACAAAGAACAAGAGATCAGTCAGTGGAAAGATTGGTTTTGGAGCATTCGTCAATATTTAGCAGTTGTTGACAGTGCCTATGAGTCAGATGTCTCTTTGCTTCTGCGTGATTTAGACACACCAGTTTTGCATGATGAACTAGATGATGCAAAGAAAGATAGATCGCGTTTTCTCTACAGTTTCCTTTCATCGTTGGTCAAGGGCCGACCTTTGACAATCTTGAAGAACATCGGTGAATGCAATGGTTTGGAGGTTTTGAGGAATTTAGTTCAAACATTTCAACCTTCATCGAAGACACGATCTTTAGCCATCATGAACACGATCATGGGCTGGAAAGAGTTTGACATGAGACAACCTCTTCTACCTCAAATATTGAAACTTGAAGAAGCATTTCTAGAACTCGCTCGTGTTTCTGATCCACTTCCAGAGAATTTGAAGTTGGCAGTACTTTCACGTTGTATCACTGGACAGCTCAAGACGTATATCAACGTGCATTTAGATGAAGGTGCATCTTTTGATACTATGCGAGAAGCTGTTCTTCGTTTTGACAGAGCGACGACAAAATGGACAAGTACGACTGTTTTAGGACAGGATGATCCAACTCCGATGGAAGTAGACAGGATCAAAGGAAAGGAGAAAGGAAAGAAAGGTAAGAATGGTAAAGATGGCAAAGGAAAACAGGGAAAATCCAAAGGTTATGGCAAGGATTTCAATTCGAGTTTTCAGCAGAGTAAAGGTAAAGGCAAGGAGCAGAAAGGCAAAGGCTATGGTTATGACAACAAGGGCAAAGGCAAAAGTGATGATTCGAAAGGTTGGAAAGGCAAGGGCAAGTACAATTCACCTGGTAAGAGTGCAGGT